AGGAATCGACAAACACTGTTCTAAACAAGCAGGAGAGTTTGAGACCAGCCTTTTTCAACCACATGATCTACTTTTAACTGTCTGTGTGTATGTTTACATGCCAGTGGTTGTATACGTGTTCTGCTTGCTATGGATTGGTATTTCTAATGACTAATGTACTGTGACATACCACCTCATTATGGCAACACAGAAACAGTAATCCACAACTCAGAACATCTTGTAACCCACTACAGGCTGGAGGAGCTGAGTAACAATGGTAAATATGTCTCGATGATTAGTACAACATAGGATCCTAACTTACTTGTTACAGTCAGCAGCCCATTGTACTATCAACTGTGTTACCTAAAACCTTGTATTGACTGCAAGCAAAACTACCATCTAATAATGGGAATAATAGTCATCAGTGTCGGTATGATTAATAAAGGCTAAGTTTCTTTTGAACACAAATAGGAATTGTGCTTTTATCAAGCAAAGAGTGTAAATGACCAGTGTCTCAACTCTAAGCTGTTGAAAACAACTCACTTAGCCACAGTGTGCCGAATCAGTTAAGTCCGCTGTCGAAAAGCATAGACATTTTGCCCAATAACACTCTTAAATACTGCAGGCAGTCAGGGGGGCGGGAACATGTTTACCCATTCCACCCCTTTACTGATTAGGCACACTGTAGTTTAGTGAGTTGTTTAAGTGGTTTAGGGTCGAGACACTGCATATTTACACTTTTTGCTTGACGAAGGAAACAGAAGTTTTCAAAAGCTCGTAAAAAAGCAAGTTTTCACTTCCTGTTTGTGTTCAAAACAAACTTGGCCTTTATGAGTTCCCATTATGTTTTTGTAATATTTTACTATTGGAAAGATACCTGCTAGCATTCTGGTCATTTTTCAATATGACATTTTTATATATACTAACAGTAGTATGTATTTAAATAAAAAATGTACCAAATCATATACAGAAGTAGAACAGGTACACAACATCTTGTCCTTGCATTTTTTATTGAAACAAATGGACTAGCTATATATCAATTCTATGTTATTTGCACCATTCAGTTTTTATGTTGCATTTATACCAGTTAAGCGACATCTCTGCAGTTTATTGCTTATTGTATTTCTGTACATGTGTCCACAACTGTAGGTGTAAATCTAACTATATTGTGAAGTAAACTTTTGTCTACATTTTGAAAACTGACAATCAGACTAATAACAGCTTAAAGTCATTGATATTTTGTAGAGAACACCTGTACAGAGTTATACCTTTAAACAACGGGTGGTAGCTATGTAATAGAGAGTGGTAGGCTCGGATTGTTAAGAAAAAGTCATCTGAACGGTTCATGACATTAATCGCTAATCAATGTTGACGCTGAGGGTGCTACAAATAAAATTTGATGTGGAAAGGTCTTCGACACTTTGTCGATCACTCAGGATACAGCCTGTATTATATAAGAGTGACCCAGGTCACTATGGGGTCATTGAATATACTTAACATAACCCTCTGTAATAATACTACTGTAGGTGTCAATTGCAAGCACCTCATATACCCGGATTAGACTGATATTCTCAATGCTTACTGCCTTCTATTCCCTTTTATCAGACTGCCATCTGTTTACAGGTATGGATAATGTTGGTAATGCTGATCAGATTGTCCCTACCAAAAAATCAATGATTCTAAGGCAAGAAATGGTAGCTTAGCCTTGCTCATCTCTCTTCTAGTTCGGGTCCCCATTACTTTCCACTGACGCCACACACACCTGATTCGTAAAGCACTGCGAGAAATCACTACAGTACACTTGGTACATGAATACTTGAATGCATAATTGAATGTTGTTCTGGAGTAAATAAAATCCTGTAAAACTAACTCATAATGTCAATTATGATAATGACATTGTCTTGTACATATTTGCTATTCTGTAATGTATACCAGAGTGGATGAGAGTCTTTGTAAATATTCAATATTTACCGTTTATTTTTGTGAATAAATGTAATTATATTTTGATAAATGTGCTTCACACTGTTGAGTATTGCACTATGTGAATACTCATGCACTTATCTGACTGTATTACTTTGTATTCAGAAAGGGAAAAGCACATATGATGAAATAAAAATAATTTGTTTATGCTAAAAAAAACAAGGTGGTGGGGTGGTGAAGTAAACAATGTACTCGCCTTTTACCAAAGCAGTTGGGATTTGATTCCCTGATCAGACGTGAAAAGACACGGAGTCACCTGTCCAACCACGTGGGTTTTCTATGGTACTTTACTTTCCTCCCACTTTAAGACCCCCCCCCCCCCTAACATCAGGGTGAACAAAAGTGATTAATGTGAGCTGAAAAAACACGTTTCATGACTGTCGCAAAATAAATAAAGTTTATATTTATACATGTATGATAAATCAATATTTTACAATCAACTTTATATTTACATTCCCTAGCTTACATGTATTAATCACATGGCTTCATCAGGTCGACCAAACACACAATCCCACACTTAACATGTACTACAGCCTTGTGTCCCATACCTTGCTACATTATCTGTCTACTTTAATGATCTATCTATCTGAGGAAATTAAGAAATTACCCTTCACAGTCACCCCACTGGCAGAAGGATTAAAATTAAATGACCTTTGACTCTTCACCATAAAATCAATAGGCATTGACCTTTCAACCCTGAAATATGAACTTATCCAAGATATTCCCATACTTGACCTTTGTTTAACCTTTGATGAAAATCTTATCAGAAATACTGTTGGTAGTCAGTCATGTCAAATTTTTTGACAGAAAGAGTGGGAGGTGGATCATGATGGACATGTGTAACACTAACTGCTCCCTAATACTGCCCATTTCTATTTGGGGCATGAACTATTATTGTTTTAAATGAAAGTTAGACATATTCAATTCTTTTATAAAAAGAAAATATGTTAACCCCAACCCTAAAGAAAATACCTTTATTTTTAATAAACTTAGGACACAATTTTATTTTCTAACTTTCCTGTTTTATAGCAAAAAAGATTTTGGAAAGTCAGATGTTTTGATTTGCTGTCAGTTTCAAGTTATTGGGAAAGTGGAAATTTCCACAATAACCGTAATTTCATTAAAGTCCGAGATAGTCCAGTAATCTGTTGAAACAGGTTATGATTTACTTGGCCAGAGTCTGTTAACAAGAAATGAAGGTATATGCCTAGGATAGTAGGTTTGTTTGTTTGTTTGGAATTTAATGTCCTCACAACAGCCAGGGTCATATGAGGACGGGTGTCTAGGGAGACACAACAGCCAGGGGCATATGAGGATGGGTGCCTAGGGACACACAACAGACAGGGTCATATGATGACAGGTGCCTAGGGAGACACAACAGCCAGGGTCATATGAGGGCGGGTGCCTAGGGAGACAACAGCCAGGGTGATATGAGGACGGGTGCCTAGGGACACACAACAGCCAGGGTCATATGATGACAGGTGCCTAGGGAGATACAACAGCCAGGGTCATATGAGGATGGGTGCCTAGGGACACACAACAGCCAGGGTCATATGATGACAGGTGCCTAGGTAGACACAACAGCCAGGGTCAAATGAGGACGGGTGCCTAGGTAGACACAACAGCCAGGGTCATATGAGGACGGGTGTCTAGGGAGACACAACAGGCAGGGTCATATGAGGATGGGTGCCTAGGGATACATACATGTAACAACCAGGGTCATATGAGGATGGGAGCCTAGGGATACATACATGTAACAGCCAGGGTCGTATGAGGAGTGGACGGGTGCCTAGGGAGACACAACAGCCAGGGTCCTATGAGGACGGGTGCCTAAGGATACATACATGTAACAACCAGGGTCATATGAGGATGGGTGCCTAGGGCTACATACATGTAACAGCCAGGGTCATATGAGGACGGGGGCCTAGGGAGACACAACAGCCAGGGACATATGAGGACGGGTGCCTAGGGAGACACAACAGCCAGGGTCATATGAGGACGGGTGCCTAAGGATACATACATGTAACAACCAGGGTCATATGAGGATGGGTGCCTAGGGATACATACATGTAACAGCCAGGGTCATATGAGGACGGGTGCCTAGGGAGACACTGCCGGGACAGAAAGTAAATAGAAAAGAAAAGGCAGGTGTTGAAATGGAGGCAGCAGATCAATTTTGATCCCTTCTTCGCTGAAGACAATGAAGAAAACCCCTGATTCAGTAGGGGCCCCACATAAGTCACCTTTTACGCTACACATGCAATGGGATACAGCAGGCCTATGCCTTCCCTGAACCTGCACGGGTTCCTAAGAAAGTGGGATAATTATAAGTATGTTTACACTTGGCCAAAGATAGCGGGTAAATTATAATAAAATACAGGGACATCATCACTTGGCCTGCTGAAAGTGGCAGGTAATTAAATGACAATGATATTTTTCACTTGGCCTGAGATACATAAGTGATATATATATACCTGAGGTAAGTATAAATGCCAGGAGAGGCTACACTAGCCCATGTAACATTGTCTGTAAGCATCTGATCCAGGCGGATGTACTCATACATAATTGAATGAGACGTAACTAACTGCAAATGTTCATCATTAACATGTACATCGGGAATAGGCTCTTGGGTAACAATGGTATAGAGACCTTATACCATAAACAAAGCATTATTTGACCAGTCAAAGAAAGTCCAAACTTAATTGTCACATAAATCCTTCAGAATTGATTTCTGAATCAAGAAAAACCTCCAAAAGTGCAGTCACTTTGCTTAAATTGTTTAAGATATCTGATTTACTAAAATCAGCACATCTCTTCATTTATTTACAATAACATTTATTCAATATCTTTTTCCTTTTTTTTCAACAAACCATAGGCATTCAAAATTTCAAATTTTCCAAAATTGAACACTCTTATATCATAACAAGAGTACTGTTAATTCTAGATGAACTTGAATTTCACAAAATCAACAAAAATAAAATTCCTCATGACAATTGGTATCTAGGTAAACAAAATACTAAATTGGAAACTACTTAACTTACCTTTTGTTAGGGCATGTATCCCCATTTTCACCTGTGAAAAGTTGCCACTCCCTAGTTCCCCTCGAATTCGATAAAACCCTATTCTTTTGCCTAGAGTTATCTCCTTCAAGCACTTATGGTCATTGCTGAGATCTAAGGATAGCTTTTGATATGGAGTCATTCGTTCATGCCTGCCTTCTGTGGGTTCACTGACTGTAGATTCCCGAGGGATCCTCTCCTCTCCATTGGGAAGATCCGAGACCTCCTTCATTGTGGCTTCAGTATCCAATCCAGAAAGTTTTAATCCATCATCCTGTTCACCGTTACTAACTCGGCCAGTACAAAATCTGATCAGGGTTGGAATACAAATATTTCCATTTCAATGGGGATCTCTGCCATTTTCTATCACGCTGTTCCAAACATTCAGTTCTCCACCTGTGAATAACAGATGAATTGTATTTATAACAGGATAAAACACATATTGATATTGCTACTAAATGTTCTTGGTACAGTTTTCTAAATGACAATCAGATCTAGCTCATAATCAAAACGGTTGTTTTAAACTTCACGCTGCTAGCTTCAGATAATATTTTTGTGATTTTGTTTTTTCCAAAGTTGTCTGCAAAAATGTACATAGTTTCATATATATAGTCAATGGTCATGGTGATGATCAATCTGAATTATTGTGAAGTTAACTTTTTTGTTTTTGAATTAATTGGAAATGAGAAACCAAATTTTAAACCTCGTTTTACCTATAAGCTGACAACCCTTTATACAACAGTTATAAGAAATGATAGGATCTGTTCAATAACGGTGGACATTTGATCTCACATAGCTAGAATATACATGTATGTAACACAATATTACACGCCAAAAAACACATGACAATTACCATGTAGAATGATTTAAATGTGTATGGATTTGACAAAGATACCAATTGCTATCAAAATTTCTAATACAATGGTTTAAGGTTTTAAATTCTGAAGGCAGAAGATACACGTATGCAATAAACCCAGAATTAGCCGGAACCTGCTGTATGCCAGGCTTTAGTGCCAATGTCCCGGTCTGATCTAACTATACAGAGAGCAGTACAAACTTAAAGTCTAAACCAGCCCCTGTCTAATCAGGACCTTTAATGCCAATGTCTCGGTCTGATCTAACTGTACCGAGAGCAGTACAAACTTAAAGTCTAAACCAGCCCCTGTCTAATCAGGACCTTTAGTGCAAATGTCTCGGTCTGATCCAACTATACCGAGAGCAGTACAAACTTAAAGTCTAAACCAGCCCCTGTCTTATCAGGACCTTTAGTGCCAATGTCTCGGTCTGTTCTAACTATACCGAGAGCAGTACAAACTTATAGTCTAAACCAGCCCCTGTCTAATCAGGACCATTAGTGCCAATGTCTCGGTCTGATCTAACTAAACAGAGAGCAGTACAAACTTAAAGTCTAAACCAGCCCCTGCCTAATCAGGACCTTTAGTGCAAATGTCTCGGTCCGATCCAACTATACCGAGAGCAGTACAAACTTAAAGTCTAAACCAGCCCCTGTCTAATCAGGACCTTTAGTGCCAATGTCTCAGTCTTATCTAATTGTACAGAGAGCAGTACAAACTTAAAGTCTAAACCAGCCCCTGTCTAATCAGGACATCTGTCTAAACCAGTTTTGTTCTACCAATCTTGCTATGTAAATCAATGTTGATACACCCTGTTCAATAGAAGTATCCTTCCCAACTGTACTACAGATAAATCTGAAACAAAACTAAGGGGAGGTTACTGTATGTATGACAACCCAGAGTACAGTGGGACAGAGATCCCCACCCAGGTAATGGTCAAAATGAATGCTAACAGGAAATTTAAACATTATATAATTATTCAACCTGTAACATGCACAAATCATAGAATATACCATTAGTATACAGATACCCATTAGTATACAGATTCCCATTAGTATACAGATACCCATTAGTATACAGATACCCATTAGTAAGTATACAGATACCCATTAGTATACAGATACCCGTTAGTATATATGTATATACCGATCCATGATTCTCTCCTATAAAAAAACAAGAGCTTGGATGAAAACTGAATAATTCAAACTATTCAAGGTGCTGAGAGGGAGAAGGGAAAATACTTTCAAATAATATGCTAGCTTTAGCTCACAAAATAAATATTCACTAGTAGAATTTCTCCTGATTTTGTAACTTTTCATACCTACTTGAAAGCAAAGTACATTTTTCAATCTTTTATCGACAGAAGGCTGTTATTTTTTCAGTATACAGTGTATGCATGTGCTCCATTAGAAAATGTAAAAATTCACTGTCATCAACAACCCTATATAAAAATTCACTGTCATCAACAACCCTATATAGAAATTCACTGTCATCAACAACCCTATATAAAAATTCACTGTCATCAACAACCCTATATAGAAATTCACTGTCATCAACAACCCTATATAGAAATTCACTGTCATCAACAACCCTATA